GGTGTTGAGGGTTTAGGGGTTTATGGTATAGGGGTTTATGGGTTTCGGGTTGGGGTTTATGGGTTTCGGGTTGGGTGTTGAGGGTTTAGGGGGTTAGGCTTTAGGGGTTTAGGGTTTGGGTTTAGGGGTTTAGGGTATAGGGGTTCAGGGTTTGGGTTTAGGGGTTTATGGTGTAGGGGTTTTTAGGGTTACGGGTCTAGAAGTTTAGACTGCGGGGTTTAGTGCTCCGGGTATGCGGGAATGAATCGGCCAACTTGTAGAATGTTAAGCGGCGTCTTCAAAGTGCCGTTCATGCCATCTCAGAACTGTGTCCCATTATTATTCTTGGCACCCAGGACTTCCATGGCCTCACTCCTCCCAAGCTCGACGATGCATCGTGGAACTTCGGGAATCCTGGCAGCTCCGGCCATCCAGAGTTTTGCTCGCGACCGTGTCTGCATGTCTTCAGGGAGGGCGGGTGCTCTCGCGGTGTGATGTGTGGCCACTGTCACTTGCATCATTCGCATCGTACCAAGTTGGATCAGTTACAACGAGCCTACCTCAACCACTTGAAGGATGAAGAGCGGCTCGCCGTGTTTGTGCCACTTATTCGGCGAAGGGCCTCGCAGATGGGCCTTTTGCCAGTCGTCGAGAAGATCGTGGAGATGCTTGAGACAGAGGCCGCGCCGCACAACAAGACAGTGCCACCAAACATTCCTCGGTGCCTGCAGATTCTTTGTCATAGTTGGGTAACATTACATGTTGGTTGGTATATTTAAACACAATGAGGCATCTAGATTTTTTTTAGTAGAAGCCCAACCGTTTACAAGGAATGTTGTGCAGAGAATGCCGCTGAATCAGCTCATCTTCTGGTCCATGCGCAAGCTCCCCGAGCGTGTGCAAGTTGCCTTGCAGTCGACGAGACTAGGTTGGTTTTCGGGACATGTTTTTGATTTTCCTTACTTGGGTTTGTAAGGGGCACTTTATATAGACATTCTTCATTCTAATCCCTAAACCCCTAAACCCTAAACCCCTAAACCCTAAACCCCTAACCCCTAAACCCTAAACCCTAAACCCTAAGCTTAAAGGACAACCCAGGAAATCAAGCATGAGATCTCCGCAACTCTTGGTCGGACACCGAGGGCCCTCCATCTTGCTATGACTTTGCAGGATCACCTAGGGTTTAGGGTTTAGGGTNNTTTAGGGTTTTTAGGATTCAGGGTTTAGGGTTTAGGGTTTAGGGTGCAGGGTTTAGGGTTTAGGGTTGAGGGTTGAGGGTTTAGGGTTTAGGGTTTAGGGTGGATGGTTGATTCTGTCGCGCAGTGGGGAAGAGGAGTTTGAAAGCCGAGGGAGGCGTCCGAGCACTTCTGCGGTGTATGGCGTAGCCCGGACAGATGTAGGTTCGGGTCCGGGTAGTTCGTGGCATCAGCAAATTGTCATGTCCCAAAAGGCGAGGCAGAGCCATAGCCCGGTTTAGACTTCAGAGTACAACGCAAGCAAGACATGTGCATAGAGCGGTTGCAATAGCCAAAGACAAAGTGATTCAACTATACCCAAAACCCTCATCCCTGCACCCCTAAACCCTGAACCCTAAACCCCTAACCCTCATCCCTACACCCTTGAAGCATCAGGACCAGAGTGCCGGAGCAATATACACCCCAAATTGGCGCCAGGATAGACATTCGGTCGTTTGCACGAGGGTTTCAAGTGCGAGAAGTGGTACTAGTGACAAGCAGCAAGTGTGCTGGAGAAGTTACGATGACATTGGCGAAAGTGATGATGATGTTGTTGTTGTTAAGGATGAAGAAATTGATAATGATGATGATGATGATGATGATGATGATGACAATGCTCGAGCCATAAACACGGACTTGTTCGGCGCCGTTCACAGTTGAGGGCTTGAAATCTATGGCCCGCATTGTGCCTGGGCATAGAGTCCACGTGACAAACAAACTGAACACAACACTTATACACTCTAAACCCTAAACCATCGAATCTGTCTCCGGGATCTGACACCCTCACAGCTGATGTTGTCCGTTTTAGGGCAGTTTAGGGTTTTGGGTTTGCTGAGGTTTTTAGGGTCTGGGGTCTACTTTCACATCGATTGTTATGGTTACTTAAACTCAACAATACGGAATAGAAATCTAGATTTTGATACTATCCCAACCATGAACTCGTTTAGGCCGTTTTTTCAGACCCTGAGAACGTGCTGGACTCCTCGTGTAGTTGATTTGAATTCAATCACGGACTAGCCGAAACAGCTATGTGCGATCGCAGCTTTCATGTAATATAGGGGCCTCCATAACTACCAATACTACTTGAATATTAATTATGCCTCAGTTTTTTTTACTCTGCCGCAAGTCTGCCACAATATACCCCAAACCCAAGTCTAGAAGGCCCCTATATTACTTAGACCTGTTTCGACGCAGAGTCGGAGATTCTCGCGGCTCAGCTAGGTGCGTGGTCGTAAAGCTCCTCCCTATTCGCGAGGAGCCCACGACCCACCAAAAGATGCTTGAGGTCCACCGGTCGCACTTCGTAGGGAAGGAAGCAAGAATGAGAGTAAAGCGTCTAGGGTTTCGGTATGTAGTCGAAACGGAGTGGAGGTTTATAGAGCAAGGGGGTGAAGCGGTGCCATTCCCTTTCCATTCGAAGTATATCCGTGGCCATGGTTCCACACACTCCTTGAGCGCCCATGTGTGAGCTGCGACTTCCGCTCGATTGCCACGGAACGGCAAGGCGGAAGCCCCAAATAACCCGTCTTGTTTCAGGGCTTTTCTGATTCTTCTGCCGAGTTCGTTAATGACATCCGCAGACTACACCCGCCCAAGCGGTACAAACACAAAATCTGGCTTAAATCTTGCTTGAGTATGCACAAGTGAAGTGGGTGCAAGCCTTTCGCCACCGCCTCCATGGTCTCCCTTCCCCCTGAAAGTGGGTGGGTTTGGTTTGCTCGAATGAGGGTTTAGGGTTTAGGGCATACCCACTCTTCCCACCCTTACCCCTGTGGATGTGAATATGCACTTCGTTCACAGTGCCCCTTCTCCATATGTCGATTTGGGGCTAAACGCCCGCCTTCATCCATGGACAAAGGGGGCCACTCCCAGCTGCAGAAAGTTGCCATGTTCTGGCTCACCTTCATGCCCCATGAAGCTGTGTGAGAACGCTCAGGCATGTATCTGCACATGAGGACGGGACCCAATCCTCGCCGGGACGGGACCCCATGTTCGACGCTGTGCCGAGGACAGAAACCGCATCCTCACTGCTTCCCCACCAGGGAGTGGGCCCAGTATCCCAGCCTTGCCAGGGACACGACCCCAAATCCCCACTACTTGGAAAGCGACGACCATGATCCTAAACCCTAAACCCTAAACCCTATACATGTAACATGTTAGCCATGGGTTACATGACATGCAGCCTCCCGTCGCTCTGCGATCACCTTGCAAGTGTGTGAATCCCCTTTCTGGGTGTAGCTTTGTGCTTTGTGCCCTCCTCCGACCCTGGGCCTGGACTTAGGGTTTAGGGTTTAGGCCTATCTCAGCGAGCGCTGCCGGCTTTTGAGAGGTCGCGGTGATATTAAGACTACAGAAGCATTTGACTGCCCGTCCCGGCGGCTGTTGACACAGCGGGGACGTCGGGATGGCAATTAGGAATGAAGATCCGGACTCAAAAGCTACTTGTAGGGTGCTGAAAAACCCCATTCTTGTTTTGCCAGGACCTTACATTGCACGGCTCTCATAGGTCACGAAAATGCTCGAACCAAATAAACCGCCCTGGACCCAAAACCCATAACCCTAACTCACAAAGCCTTAAAGCCTGAGGTTGTCGAACTAAGGAAATCCTCTTGTAAGTTAGTTTGAGGGCTGTCGAGTTGTGTTTGCGCTTGTGTAGCTTGGCCATTTGTGACCCAACCTGGTTTTCGATGGAGTCGCAGATTCTGGCGCTCAGTGAGTGAGGTGCATGTTTCAGGGAACAAGCTCGTTCCGAATCGTTCCCTTGGCGAGCAGCAGCTCGCCACCAATTTACAATGTATGTTTGAGGCCTTTTGTTTCCCTGGTATGCTTGGTAGGGGAGGAAACGTCCTGATAGGAAGCTCAAACTTGTAAGCCGTTAAGCCATGAAGCCCTTCTCGGCCGTCTCTCTAGCCACGACGTCCTATTCGGCACGAATATATTGTATATGGCTCGATATATAGGGCTTTAGTTGCCTATACTATTTGGGGGTTCCTTACTATACATATATAGCGAGAGAGAGAGAGAGAGAGAGAGAGAGAATGATATACCCGCAAACCCTATTCTAATTATTGAGGCCCGAACATGGAAAGTGCGCGGTTCCATTCCCACAGTTCCGACCAAGCACCAGCACTGGAAATTTAGAGCGGGGGACACCTCCACTCTGGTGACATTGCCAAATCCCGAAAGGAGTGCTGAAAGATTGCATGCGTCTCAGATGCCTTATGCCGACGGATCGCCGACCCGACACCGAATTTCGAAGGTGAAACTCAAAGCCTTAAAGCCTTGAGCCCTGCAACATCCTAAAACCCTACATTGCCCCACATCCTAAAAACTCTGAGTCGAAAGTTGTAGTCATGGTCTGGAACAGCCAGTCTTAGGCCCGTGTCTTGGCTGCCGATGTCTGCAAATCTGTTGTTTCGAGTGCCACAAAACGAAGGTCCAGAATTACACTAGACTGGTACCGGACTTTCGTAGCGATACGACATAAACACGATTGAACATAACATGCGGCGCTTGCCTGGAGAAGCACAAAGTGAATTCATGAGTCGAGCCCGCAATGTGCACTCAATGGCAGCTAGTGCTAGTGCTCCCGAGACGGCCCATTGGGTGAAGACGTTGTGAATTGGGCTTCAAAGCTTCCCTGCGACCGCTGCCAGGAGAGAGCCCATTGGCTACTAGTTGTAGGGGCAGAGCCGTTTCTGTAGCCGTGGCAGGTAGTCATGTAGCAAGAACTAACACAGGAAACCCTAAACCCAAAACCCTAAACCCTAAACCCTAAACTCACACAGGTTTTATGTCAAGGACAGCAGGCATGAGGTTCCTGAAGCCTCTCCTAGCACACCGGACAAGAGATACTGGCCGAGCGCAGCACAACCCCAACTCCTAAACCCCGAAACTCTTCACCCGAAATCTTGAAGAAGAGCCACTACATCTGAACCCTGCAATCGTCCTGCTATAGAGGTCTGAAAAGGAATACGTGGATATAATGCGGAATACTTATAGTCCACACTTCTACTAAAACACAGTCCAAACGCCCATTCTGATTATTCAGGCCGCTATTTCTTGCCCAAAAGCCTGCATGTGGGGGTTTCTGAAAATAGGAGACCCTAATATAGTACCCCAAATAGTAGGATCCTGAATGAAAGGACCCCCAAAATAAAGTGCCCCTTGTTTTCGGAAACTCCCATGTCGTGCTAAAGGTGGCAGCAGATTCTCCAGAGGACCTGCGGGCGCAGATCGACATCTCCATGTCCAAGTGGGGCCTACCACTCGGTTTAGGGTTTAGGGTTTAGGGTTTAGGGTAAGGGAGGTTCAAGGGCATGCTTTGGGCCTTACCTGGAACTCTAGGGACCCATTGTCATTGACCTAAGACCATACTACGAATAGATCGAGGACTAGTAAAGGCTTGATATATTGAGCTCCCATAGACTATTTCTGTAGCTGGTCGAGTGTGGCTTGAACAAGAGTTTTTTGTGCGGCCATCCTATACTTAGTTCTCAAATACCCAACCTTTAAATTTTTTAGGTTCTCATAATTTAGTAGTAATCTGAAACTTTTGATATTTTATTTCCCTGGCTTATTGGAGAAGTAAGTATAGACCGTGAAAGCCCCGGTTCGGTCTGCCAAAAAGGCCTCGGGGCAGTTTTAGTGGCTGCTGCACTTGAAGTTTCATGGGACTTAGTTACTAGGCTTATCGATAAAGTAACTATACTTATAATTACTTATAACCCCTATTAGGGTAAGTCCCGCGAACCCCAAAGCAAGCCTTCAAACTCACCCAGTCGTAATGGAACCCCGAGCGACAGACTTGTAGGGGTTGTTTTTTTGTCGACGAGTTTGCACAGGAATCGAAGCTTGATAATGCTTCAGTGTTGTGTGATGGCACGGTTACATTGACCGATGTTGAACGATGAATCGAAAATCCTGAGCGATCTTCACTCCTGAAATAGTTACACCCTGGGATCCTCATAATCTGGCTTCATAGTGCCTTAACACTACAGAGGTAGCTACCCAACCAAAGGATCATCAAACTAAGACCCCTACTGTAATATAGGGGCCTTAACAATTAGAACAGGGTATAGGGGCCCAGAATACTATAATATACTATAATTATAATAAGGAACCCCAAAATATAGTATTGGTAATTATTAAGGCCCTTACATTGCAGGCACCTAGGCTTCTAGGCTTAAACCGCATTCCTCAATGTAAACCCCTGAATTCTGACAAACATTAAGGACTAGAGTCGGGATGGCCTGCTTCAGGCCTTTCAATCCGTGGTTACAGAAGCAAGAATGCAATAAGAAAGGGCCTGACTGGTAGTAGTCAGCCCTTCTTATCCATGTACAGCTTTCGTCTCATCTACTCCTGGTCTGAACCCCTAAAGCAGGCTTGTCAGGCCATTTCTTCTACGCCAATTATATGCCATGTCTACGCCTTTCGTTACTCAGGCTCAAGCCGCGTGTTTGCTACGTCCATCTGCCCTGCACTCTGCAGGCCCCACCTGGACCTCCTCATCGACTTCCCATACAACTCGACACCTGGGACAGTAATGCGAAATTAACCCCCACGAGATTCTATGAGTAGGCCCATGTAAATTGACGTGTAGAGGCCACAGAAATGAGGCCACAGAAACCTAGATTTCTGTGAAGCCAGAGTGACAGTTCCTGGTCGTCACCGGATAGCACCATGAACTCTGAACCCCAAGCCTAAAATGCCCGTGCGCTGTACGCAAGAACCCTAAACCCTAAACAGTTTGGCCATGCCATGACGCGCGGCACTCTGGCCAGACAAGCCCCACAGCTCAGGGTTTTTGGTTTGGGTTCTTACGGCTTGCTGAGTACGAGTTTCCGTGCAGCATGGTTCGTTCAGCAGTCGTTGCAATGCGACAGTTTTCGGTTTTGCAAGGGGTCTGCATATCATAGTCTAGAACCTTGAACCCGAAAGGCTCGTTCTTGGTAGGGTCGCGTTTCTTCATGATTGAGCCCAAAGGTTTCTTAAGGCATCCCAGAACTCCTAGTGCCTGGTCTCGAGGGTCCCAAAGTATCCGGACCATCTAAGGGCGAAATATGTATTCAGATAGGGTCTGCGATAGACAGGACCCATGCATGGACGGCTCCCCTTCTTACAGAAGCCTACCGTACTGAAGCACGCTGCATTCTAGAGATCATGCTGTTGATGATATAAATCCTGCATTTCCTTATCAGGACCCCAAACTATGGGAAGTATGGTAGATTCCTTATTATGGGGTATGCAGGAGTGACATCATCCACCGTCGGGATCCCATTAGTTGCAGTCCTGGCAAATACTATACAGGTCCGAGCAAGACCATCCCCCCAGCCCTCATAGTTAGAACTGTGCTGCAATAGGCCCTCGGACCTGTGTAAGGCCGATAACACCGCTGTACAAGCCGATAGACATTATTCTAGCTCGTCAGCCTCTTATACAGACTTTGATCCCTGCAAACCATACAACCCAAATCCGAAATCTGATAAATCCTACCTGCATCCTAAGAAGCCTACGTTTTCGGGAGGGTTCCTTATTATTGGAGTTCCTTATATAAGTCCTTGAAACGGTAGGTTATTTGGGGCCAGTGCAGCGTCAGAAAGCGTTGGCGCACTCCAGCTCCAGGTTGCCGTCTCCCTGCTGGCAAGCGCCGTGGCTGTGGCGGCCGCTGGGATGTTTACAAACTCGAGCGAGAAGCACTAAACCCCTACACACCGAGCGCCCTGAATCTTACACCCTGCATACACACCCCAAACCTTCATCCTTAAGATCTCAGTTACCTATGCGGTAATTATAACGGTTTAACGGACAGGTAGGCACGAATACAGCTTAGGCTTCAATCTTCAGGGTTACCATGTGGGTAGCTGGACCGGGTTTATCTGGAACCCCAAGTCCGTGAACGCGAAAGTATATTTTCCTGTTTCCTTCAGAGAGTCAAAGAAATTCTCAGAAGCAATATATCTCTATAAGGGTCCAAGTACCCTTTATTTTGGGTCTTTAGGGCCTATATAATCTCACGAAAGTTCCTCACTTGGGGGGCGGAGCACGCCCTGTGGATACCTTGCACAGACAGAAACGACATCCTCCCCCAAGCTTTGAAGTAGGTTATTCAGTCATTCCTATCACTATAATGATATACGGGTATGGATTGGAAACCCTATTGAGACCTCCTAAACCCTAAACCCTAAACCCTAAACCCTAAGCCCTATTGAGACTTATTTTTAGAAAGAACAAACCCTAAACCCTAAACCCTAAACCCTAAACCCTAAACCCTAAACACCCAATGGGCTCCGAGCTCGGAGCCCTCAGCCGCCGTTCACAGTTTCAGGGAGGTGTCCCTAGCCCTAAACCCGGGTTTTGCAGCATAATATAGGGGCCTCAAGAATTACCTATGCTATTTTTTTTTTTT